TATTTAAAAAAATACATACCTTGTCGATGTTCATTAGGATGAGCTCGTGCTCACGCAGTCTAGCTGCACAGCTGATCACATGCGCTGTGTAAATCCGCCGAGACGAAGCTCTTCACCAGCACGAAGCTCTGAAGATCAACCAGATGATCTTTTTCCTATCATTTAGTAAACACTGATCGAATTCCACTCTGTTATTCGGACTTAGTATAATTTTAATGAAAATTTTAATCGAACCAATGTATAAATTTTGAAAATCCATAAAATGCATACATTTTAATCTATATTCGTTTTATAATATTTTTGAGTGTAGTACTGGAATTTTTACAAGAATGGGGTACGTTAGTCGATTTGCTTGGGACCAATAGGCTAGTCAAGTAGTGAGCCAATTTAAAATCGTTAGTTTCGTATTGATTGTTGGTATAACTGGTTCAACGAAACAAATAACGAATTTAATTTGGTAGATGTGAACGAAAACAAAATTACAATAGAAAATTATCTTAAGCACGTAAAAATGTTTGATTAATACCCCGGACAGACTATGGCTTATATCATGTAATATAGGCTGGCTTGCAATGAGCACTCATACATCTAGTTTTCACTGGAAATAAGGGGAAGTTTACCGACCCAAAAATATCAGTTTTTTCTTAGATTATTGACAAAATTTACATGTAAAAATATTATTTATATCTCCATGGATACTGATTTTGTTTATTTAAATCAAAAATATAACTGTTTATACTCTAAACATATGAATTATTCAAAGTAAATTGAAAACATGTTTAAAACTAAAATATGTATGTTTGAATTGAATTCAGAAGCCTGTTTATTTCAGCAATATAGAAATAAATCGTATTTGAAAGCATCTGTCATGATGTGTCTGTGTTTGACTGGCGATGATCGGTTTCTGTTCTATCGCTGGCCATTTCGCAGGATCAGAAGTTTTTTTTAGGCGGCCGATAAGAGCAAGAGCTGAACGGACACTGGAGCTGGTGTATACTTTGGACATTCTGCGACATGCTGCGCTATTTCCGGGAAAAAATCGGAGCTAATATGTTCTTGTCTTCCCAGCACGGATAACTTGAGTGTGTCAAGTTGATCGGTAACGATTATTTCGTGTCCTGTGCACATGGGACTCATCGTTTCCTATCGGTTTGGAGTTAGTTTATCCATGGAAAGATGAATAATGGGGAGGCAAATTTCATAAGTGCTATCGCGTCAATTTTGAATACGGATGTGATTGCTTCCGGATCATATGATGGCGATAATAGAAATAAAAGCACACAATTGGTTTGAATCTTCTTAGTGTCTGCAACGAATTTAAATCTAAACCCAGATGCATCGAAGAAACCAAGGTGATGTAACCTAATCGAGCACTTTTATTTGTTTTATAGCGCATTCGTAAATAATTTATAATATTATCGCAGAATTGGTCATGTTTGTATGTAATATAGTAAAACATGTATGGGCGTATTTCGGGGTGTAAGAAGAGTTTTTGAATATATTGATTCATTCAATTATGTGTTGAGGGGTTTCTTATTTTTTTTTTAAATAGTTCATAAATAAGGATTTGGGTAGATTTTTAATTACATTTGTGTAACTTTAATTACATTATTTACAGAAAATAAATTTTCAATAACAATAATTACGTAATCAAATCGAAGTACGTATTTTAATTACAGTTATTACACTGGTACTGCTTTGATTACACGAAATTGAGTTTAATTATATGAAATACTTAATTTTCAGTTTTACTTACTCAATTACATAGTTGAACACCTTGTACTTTAAATCCAACGCAGTCAAAAATGCAATGCGTGCCCCTTAGTCCCAACTACTGTTGGAGTTTTCAGTGTCAGCTGACTGAGTTGAACACCTTAAGGGGTTACGCCTACCTGCAAACTTTCAAAAAATCAATTTTTTTTTATTGTCCTAATCGCAAGTATATAAAGTCAAGAATATTTCCTCAAAAGATCAAGTTGATCCGATGAATCTCGAATTTGTGTTTAATCGCATGCCATGCCAACACGCTTCTGGCGCAGTGGTTTGCTTTTGTAGATCTCATTTACACAGGTTTGAATCAAGGAAATGCACTTTTAATTTTATTTTTATTTTAATATTTGGATTTAATAATTATGAACTGCATAAATATAAGAATAATTTATGATTTATTTGATCCACTGATTCTTTCATATTTATATGCATGAAATATCGTTACAAATAAAGACTTGTGCGGATTGTTTCATGTGCGCTTCGACGGAACTTTTAAAAAATTTTTGTTCGGAACTTTGTTGCGGCCATGTTTGAAACCTTGCCCGAAGTTAATAAGAAATGCTTGGGGTGCTTTTTTGAACTTTATTGAACTTCAAGCTGCTACGAGTACGTATCGGTACTTTTTGATGCCTGAAGTTCCTCAAGTGCTTTCTTTAGCTTCTAAAGCAGCCATAATGTTCTGTTTTAACCTAATATGGACTTTATGGAACTTGAAAGTGGATTTTATCGTGGATTGTGGAACTTTTGGTTGCTTGGAAAACTTAGAATGCTGAAATTTATTTATTTTTGCTTTTTAATTCCCTGGAATTCAAATTGGAATCCCCATATCTGTCTCTTAAGAATTCGCCTTTAGTTCTCCTTACTATTTTCTTTAAATACTTCTTAAAATTGTATACCTGGAACTTTTCGACAAATTCCTTTGGAATTCTCCTTCGCATTCGTATAGGATGATTTCTCTACATTTCTCCTCAAAACTCATTTGGAATTCTCATCATATTCACCATAAAATTGTTCAAAATGTTAGAATCCTTAAATGTTCCTCAAGAGTCATGTATTTTTTTTAAATAATTTCTTGAAAATTACGCCTATTTTGAATTTTTTGCATTTTTCGATGTCTTAAATCTCGATAAGCTCAAGAATGTGAAACGTTGACCTACACACGTTTTTCGCCGAATCTCAGCACATCAATTGCCGAGATGGGCACCACCGAGTAATCTTAAAATTCACGGTTGTATATTTTTGCTGAAAATCTCAGTTAAAAAATGATAACTGATTGCTCGGCAAAAACATCTCTACGGTAAAAAGAGAACTGAATCTCGGCTATTTTTTATTATGATTGCTTGAGTTAACGTTAGACGTTAGCAGTGTTAACGTTAACGTACGTTAGCAGCGTTAGAAACCTCCATACACAACAATAGGCTTCTAACGCTGCTAACGTATCGCAACAATAGGTCGTATAAATAAAAGCGTTTACTTTACTGTTCCCGTAAGAAAAGCACGGGAAAGTAAAGTAAACTCTTTTTATTCATACGGCCCAATAGGGTTGTTTCCCCTACTTTAACTATTCTCAAGCGGCATATTTTACATGAGCAACCACCAATTATCTGCTCCAATGGATGTTCCCCCCAATGTTGAGATCCATTCCTAATTTAAAAAAAAAATATACCTACGATAACCAAAATCATACAACTATTCCATAAATGATTTGGATGATTTCCTGAACACATCGTTAATCAAAATAACCATACACATTTATTAGAGATCCTAATATCCCTCCAACAAAAGTTAGATTAAGTTTTCCTTCGGAGCAACCTGACAGAAGTTCCTTGGCAGAGTGAATACATTCCATTCAGACGATATGACAGCCCTAATAAAAAATTACCATAAACGAACGATAACCCAAATGATGGAACTATTCCACAAATGGTTTGGATGATACCCAGAACACGTCGTTAAGCAAATTAACCATAACATTTTTATTAGGGAGTGGATAGTAACATTGTTCAGCCATTTGGCATACTGTGTCAATACTTTTGTAGGGTAAGCAATTTTTGCTTTTCTTCAAAGCTGTTGTTTTTCCCAAATCCTCGTTTTCCACTACAGGGGTTTTTTTTAGATGTTAATTTTTTAAGTATATAAATGTTGGAGTTTTCCAGATGTGCACAGTAAAAATGTATTAAACTAAAATAAAATAAGATGTTAAAAAAAAAACAAATGTATATATGCATATATTTTTTTTGTTTTAATTTAATTCGGTTAACCGAAGAATTATTTAAAAAAAGTATGCGATACAATTCTACAAAATGCAAAGCGTGTTAATTCAAGATATATCGGTAATCGTATACCAAAATTGTCGATAACATTTGACAGTTGTTAGAATTCCTGTGTTGCTAATTTCTCGGTAAACTGAACTGTTGCCGGTATTTTTAACAAAATCTCAGCTGTGTGATTCTCGGCAAAATAATTTAACGTCCTCGGTGAAATAAATTAACTATATTGAAATTTTTGTCCTAAAAAATTTAGGAAACGGTTCGTTTTATTCGACACAGAAAATAATCGATTTTATGTCAACTAATGCATAACTTATACATTGATAACAAGAAACGGAAACTCTACCTTACGACATCCATCTTCTATATTAGATTATACTGCAAACATGTTTGCCGGCTATATAAATCAACAATCAACACACTGTTTACACATTCTTGGTCAAGAACTGCTTGGATTTCCCCAACGATTTCCCTCATAAAACATTATTTATCCATCAATGCCATCTCGTGAAGCGGTAGCTCATCCAAAACCTTCCATGAGTCACAATCTCAACAAACATCCGCCACTCTCGTTGGTCAAAGCCCTGTATGCACCCGATTAGTAAATTTCAAGGTCCCTAGATCACTGCCCAACCGTTCAACTTGTTCGATCGAAACGTGTGAAAAGTGTCGTACGCATCATTCAACCGAAAAAGCGAAAAGAGACGTCAGACCCTACCCCCAATATCTCGTTCATTCACTTTTGCCTCATACCTAGCACCAAACTGTATAGGAACCATTCGTCTCAACTGATCTCAGCCAACCGTGAACATAATTTCATATTGACAAAGATCGTGTTGGTCGTTTTCTTGAGCGGTAAACCTCGTGGCGGTGCCATCGTGGCTTAGCTTCGGATGCTGTGGGCTTGTTAAAAACTATGATTTTATTATCATTTTGAAATAGTCAATCTTGTGTCGCGGAGTTCGTTGTATCGTGGTCGTGAGTCTGACGGTTTTCTGAGCTATTGTTTGTTCTGCGATACTTGACCTACGTGAACATCGGGTGTGCGTACACTTGAGTTGCGAATATTTGAATCGTTCATATAGAGTGCGGGGATCATGAAGATTTTAGTGGTTTTAACAACTCTGCTGGTGGGCTGTTTAGCTGCCCCGCAGGTTTTCTATCCTGCAGTAGGATTACACCCGAAAGGTATACACTCGCGTTACTGGGCGATCTAATAAATTCGACACGTGTTTTAATTTTTTTTTCTTACATGTGCTATCATCAAATGCTGCTATCTTGGTACATAAGCTTTTCGTAAAGGTGATTATAAAGTTTGTGAAGATCGTGTGTAAAAAAGTGCTTGTAGTTATAATTAAATATTTCTTTCTTTCTTTTCGTTTAATTAACTGTTTCAATTCGGTGCCGGGATCGGATATGCTGGGATTAATGAACAACAGCATTTAGAAGAGGTATGTATGCTTAACCTAACTAATTTTTTAATCGTTGAAGATATTTAACGTCAAATATCAGACTTAAAGTGACTTAAGATAGATGAGGAGATGAAAGTACAAAGTTCATTGTTCCAATTCAATTTTGAGGAAGGCTCGAATCGGGTTGATCATCTCCTATAACAAACTCCTCTGTTGGGGAGGGATGGTGAGGGGTATTTTAAGGATTAATTTAATTACAGGCACGCATATAAATAGTGTATGTGAAATAGTGGAATAAGTGCTCCAATGAGGGAATGGTGACATTGGCCAAGGGTGATAAGTAGGGACAATTCCGTAAAATTTATTGAAAATGATGAAAGTTAATCAAGAACTCTTTTGTGTGCGATGTTTTTTTTTTTTTTTGTATGATAATGAAGTTTACTGGGTTGGGCACAACGAATGTGACCTATCGTTATTAATTTTCTATGGCTACAATTTCTATAATTATTAGTCTGGTAAACTTGTTTATTGATTTTTTTTCTGTTAAATTATTCAAAGTAAATGATATAATTGATATAATACAAAAAAAAAATAACCTCAAGGCTGATTTGATGGATGCATCCGCTGTGTGGTGGCATAATAGCTGGTAAATGGTCGGTGTAAGAATAAATAAGATTACAACTTCTCTCTGTCAGACAATATTAGTCACGTCAGATGTGTTTCATTTAGGCGAATGAGTAAGAATGCCAGAAAAGAAGACATTTAAAATGTTGAGCGAATATTTATTCTTATCATATAATATAAATCATTTCAAGTACCGTAATCCAGGGGCAAAATGATCACTAGGGGGAAATTTATCATAATGCCATGCGTATTAGGCTGACTCGTAGGTGATAGATATCAAGTAAAATCTTGATTGTATTTCGTCAAGGGACCCTAGTATGTAATAAAACAGTTAGTTTACCGTAACAAAAAAGTTTATTAGGTTACGTAGATTTCATTTTAATGTAGTGGATGATCAAAAGCATACAATATTAGCATTCAAACAAGTGATCATAGGGCTGCATAGTTGTCAATAGCTTGAAAGTGGTATTTATGACAACATTATCAATGAAATCGAATAATAATATAAATATCGGTTAAAATTTTCAAAAATCATGAATTTAATTTAATTTAATCTATATTTTTTAGCGTGAACTGCCGCAAATCTCTTTTGGCATTTCTGCTGAAAATATACCTCGCACATAAATTTTAGCACCTAATTATCGCGTCACCTTTCATATAGACCAATCTTCATTGATCGATTCTCTTCATCGACTCTCTTTTTCGTTAATAACTTGGCTGAACTCATATTTCCGGCTAATTTTTCTACATAGTCTGTTAAAAGAAAGTATTATTAAGCGTATTGGTGAATAAGAACAGCTGAACATGTTTTTGGAGTCGGGTTATTAACGAATTAGTGAGGTGATCAATGTAGCTTGGTCTATTTGGAAAGTGACGCGAGAATTCGGAATCAGGGAACCCAAATTTATTAAGCATATTTGCTGCACTGATGCAAATAGACCTGACAATTTCATAAGGCTCGACTTTTGAACAACATATATGAATTTCATAAGCCTGACTTATGAATGATTTTCGGGTAACATGAGGTAGCTCTTATACGCCTTTAACCAATTCATTCTCCCAACCGTTGAAAGACGAACGGTCAACACACGAGCCCCCTAACCTCAACGTCCATTCTTCGGTTCCAGTCATATATTAATGTACTGGAAAATTATTTAAGATGTTGACCGATTTTACCCCATATCGACTTTTCTAAATTTGAGATGTCATTTTGGCGGGTATTAGTACCACGCTTGTCACAAATCAATTGTAGAAACTTATATACGACTTATTTCAGTCATAAAAAAGTTGCTGTAACTTATTGTGATGAAAGTGTGCTACTCGGGTAGTTTCTATTTTGACATAGTTGTTCAGATGAATAATACCGATTGGATGAGAAACAATACAGTTTAATATTCTCTCATCAGGCAGCACTAGAGTTAAATTTCACTGCAAATTGCTTGTCCTTGCTGCAATAAATCGAAGTCAAACTTCATTTCTGACAATGCTGATTTCTTTCCGATGGGCACATCGATGAACAATTTGGATATTTTCTAAAGCATTCGGACGATAATAAACAATCTGTTTATTCCTATATCAACTTTCAGCTTGACAGCTTAGCCCAACTAACGAAAGTCGTTAACTAAGTGGGCTATGGGAAAGTTGATTGTATATATTGTCCGTGTAAAAGCTACCGCCAGGTGTCACATCTGTTCGGGAAAGGAGGAAGAACATTTATTACCTGGTAATTTTGAAGTAAACTCCAAGAGGATAGTGAGGAAATTTCCAGGAGAATTTCAAAGAATCTGTGAGAAGAACTCTAAGAGATGGTTCCCAAAAATAACTAAAACTCCACAAAAGATGCAACCTATGAAAAGTCCCAAAGAAATCCTGACAAAAACTTTTAACGAATAAAGACTTAAATTTCAAGATAATTGTGAAATTCGAAAGGAATCTGAATCTGAAGTTGAATCGATTCTATGGAATTCTAGCGAGAATTTAATAATCTCGATAGTATCAAGGTGAGGATATTTTGCTGTAATTTTGAGTTGAATTTTAAGGAAGTTTAAACTCACAACATCTGAGGATAGTGTCATGGCCATGGGAGTGCTGAGGAGAATTCAACTGAAATATTTATTACGAAGTTTTGAGAAAATTAGAACGGGAATTTTAGACATTTTTTTTCTTCCTTTATTTAGGAGATTAAATAAAGGAAGAAGAAAAAAAGACATAGACATATAAAACGACATTTTATTGAAAACCCGAAAGGATTTTTTTTAATTTAGAGGGAACAGACAATAGAAAAGCGAAATGATGAGAATTCCAAGGAAATCCAAATCCAATGGTATAGTCCCAACAGAATTCTGATGAGATATCAAAATGAATCTAAGTCTGAATCTGATAGATGCAAAGGAGTTAGAAAGCAAATTACAATACGGAGGATACGTTCTTGTGAATTACGTGGAAGATTCCTAGAGACTTCCATGAAAAATATCAACGAATTTATTGAAACATTCCAAGGATACTTTTGAACAGTGGAACAAGAACAAAAAAAAGAGCATTTCAGGCGAATGTAAACAGAACACTTAAGGAGTAAGTAGTAACGTGTGATTCTAGCCAGCATACGGAAAAGTTCTGTGGAAAATACAAAGTTAATTTTGGGCATATTGACTGAAATTTCAAAACACATTAAGCATATTTGAAATGTTTGCGGGCATACATTCCACATCCTGAAAGCATTCCACATTGGTCTAAATCATGTTCAAGATAAGTTTTTTATTCAAATTTTTCATCACAAGTATACATTTAAGTATTGAAATTAACTTTTTGTGAAAACAATTTTGATTTATAATAAAATTATGAGGTTTAAGGCTTCACCATGAAAACCCTTTGGTCTATTTTAAACACGTCTCAAATAGAACTTTATGTACACACTTAATCGCATATTCGATTTTCGGTACTTTAGTAAGCATACTACACCCGGCAAAACTATTAAATTTCAAAATATTCGCCATTTTTCCATGTGGAAATTCCACAGATGTTAATAGAGAGCAATTTTAGTCCACTCGTATATTGTGTGGCAAGCCTACGAAAGTCTAAAATCCTAGGAAATTCCAATTTTAAAATTCCCTCCACAATACCGCCAATCGAACTCTCTCCTTTCACGGACTTTGTTGAGCTTATTCGATAAAACTATACATCAAGAATTGGTTTTCAAAGGACGTATCTGCTTAAGGTGATACGGCACGTCATGTAACAATAGCTGTCCCCACAATCATTAAATAAACGTTCAAACACAAACAAATATTCAAACATCAATTTGTGGAAACTCTTAGCTCGCCCACGTAAACTAACAACACCATCAGAAACGATACTGTTTCCCCGACAAGATAGAGTTTCGAAAAATTTACATTTGAATCTTTCTATACAAAAGCAGATACGTCCTTTTGAAAAATCATCGATGAAGCCACTGCTTTTTTTTTTCCTTTGGTTTGTTTTTTCCGTCGATCTTGTTTTCCGTGCTGAGCACCAATGCTACCGACGTGCCAGGAAGGCAGCTCCCACACCTGGACCCTACCTATCGACCCATCAACTCATGAACCGGGGACTAACGGCTTTACTTCCCATCAAGCATGGGAAAATTCATTCACTCGCGCGAGCACCACAGAATCAAAATAGCCATCCTCACCTACAAACAGATTGCCGAACGAGTGTAAATTCTTCCAACCAAGTGACTCTGCAGCTCGACTCAGAACTGACAGCAGTAGAAGGAAAGAAGGATAAACTGAAAGGCAGCCGAACAATTTTCTCTAGCGAGGGAGAACCAGATTGAATGCGTAACATCCGAATGCTAACGATGTAAATAGCCGAGTCTGATAATTTTTGGCTCATTGATTTAAATCAGTTGAATTGGCCACAGCAGTTTTATGTTATTTGCGTGACACTTATGTTTCTGTGTTACAGTATGACAGCTTTCTCTCTATTAATAGCGATTTAAATGTGTTAATGTATGTTTAAAGCTAGAAAATAAAAAGTGATTCTTTCTGCAAAATTCTCATTCAGCTCACTCAGCAGAATGCAATCGTAAAAGGCTCAGCATGGAAAAAATAATAAGAGAGGAATCATCCACACTACTACACTCAGAATCATTCATGCTCAGCTGTCTGTTTTGTTCAATTCTGCGTTCATCGAAGAAAATAGAAGCAATGCGAATACGAACGAAATCAGTGCGGCTCGCACAAGCTGCTGTTCGTTTCTGATGTTGTATGCGTGTGAGTGAGTAGTGAA